CCATGGGCCTGACGGAGGATGGTGTGTGGATCCGTCCGAGTTCAAAACCTCCTGTTTGGTGGGTGCTGACAGGCAGAAATAACCTCTCACTTGGCATCCCGGCGGCGGTTTGGGTTGGTTGGTTGGGGTCTGGCTGGGAATAAGAAGGCGCTGCCGATGCTCTGGCCGCCAGAGCGTTGCGCCGGATGAATGGACGGGCTCGAAAACCGGCTCTTTCGAACCAGATTAATGGCATTAGGCTTTGTCAATGCAAAAATTACCTCATCATTGGCACTGGCAGGTGGTGTAGAGCAGCAGACTTATTCAATATTTAAGAAAGCTGCATTGCAGAGCTGAGGAGGCTGGAGAAATAGGTTGCCTGTGTCAGTGTCTTTGCCGGTGGAGACGATCTCTGCAGGCGCCGCCAAGTGTGAAGCGTTGAGCTCGCCGTAAAAACCCGATTATTGCACTGGGACTCTTAAAAATACTGACTTTTCTGGTTTCTACCCCGCTATGTTATTTCCAGGTGGCGAAACCAGCGCTTTTGGGCAGCCCTCTGAGGGTCTCTCTTCGCAGATGCCCCATTGGTGGTGGCAGTGTGTGTCCCTCTGGTGGCTTCGGGTCCCGCAACCCCCCCCGTGTCCCTCCCGGTGTCCGTGGGACAGGATGGCTTTGCGCCGTCGGGGGGGGGTCCCGCTGCCTGTCCCCTGCCCTCCCGGGGCTGCTGGTGGGCGATGGGGACCTGCCGGGGCAGAGAGTGACGCCGGCACCGCATCCGCCGGATTTCGGGCGCTGGCACCGGGCCCGTGCATCGGCACCTCTTGGCTGGGAGCGAGCGGCGTCTGCGAGCGGGACGCCAGCGCCGGCGGCTGGGGGAGAAGGCAGAGCGATTCACGGGAGACATTCAATCCCTTTTTATTAAGGCGTGATCAGATTCACGGGCTCCCGTCATACAGAAGTAATGGAGCGGCGTGATTAGAGTCATGTGGCTCTTCCTTAAGGCCAGAAATTAAGACCGCGCTTCTATTCCTGGCTCTGGCCGGGACGCGCCGCCTTCACGCTGGCGGGAGCTGCCACCTCGTTCCTCCTGACCTCCCCCTCGCCATGGGGGAACCTCGAGCAGCCGGCGCCGTGTGGGGCTGGGAGAGGACCTGGGGGAGCAGGTCCTGGGACCCTTTGGGGACAGCCAAACCCTGGAAGGTCTTGGCATCCTCCTAGGGTGGGGTATTTCCACTTCATTCACTAAATGATGCCGCTGCATCCCGTCCATCACGACTTGGATTGCCACAGCCTTTTCTTTGGGAGCAAGGGTTTGACGGGGGGCAAAAAGCCACCGTAAGCTGTTATTTTGTTCTTTACCGTGCGCTTAAAAATGCAGAAGCAAGCATTAGGGCAAGCAAGAGTAGTTGCTGGAAGTAATGCAAAGTAGATCTTCAAAATCTATTATTTATAGGCGGAGGGAAAGGCTTGTGTATTCCTCCAGGAGCCGTCCTCGGGCTCTTCTCCATCCGCAACAACGCGAAACACCAGCGGCCTTTCCATTATTAGCAGAAAGTTCTAGTTGAGGGAAGGAGTTTTCCTTCCTCTGGTGATGGCTCTACCCTCTTCGCCAGGAAAAAAGAACCAAAACAGGGTTTTTCCCCCTATTCTTTGCGGGGCTGAGGTGGCCGCTCCGGCTCCGCGTGACCTTGGGCAAGTCCTTTATCCACCTTCATCTCCCCCAAAATGGGTGCCGGCGGCACGGCGCTGCCCTTCCAGGGCACCCCCCCATTAAATCAGTGTGCAGCCCCACTAGAGACCCCCTCCCCGTTCCCGGCCGCAGCGGGACCCGAAATCCCCGGCAGGAGTTCGGTGCTGCAGTGCAGACTGTGGAGGTGGCGGTGGGCATGTAAATGAGCAATTTGCGTATTTAACTGACCTTGTCAATCAGAGCTGTCTGGTTTGGCACGGGAACAGTCGTCGTATGAAACCAGCGGAGCACTAATTACCCCATGTGTGTCACTTTTATATATATATATATATATATAAAAAATATTTTTTTGGAAGTTCTCAGTGAAGCAAAGGTGATTCTCAAATCTCTGCCGACTCTTCGGAGACGGATGGAGAAACCCCTGCAATGTTGCAGAGCAGAAAGTGGAAGATGGGAATTATGGGTTGGTTTTTTTTCCCCCCTTTTTGGGAACGTGGTATGTTTTTTCGTGGCTCAGAGTTTGTGATTTCAGTGGGGCGGTTTTGCAAACTCTTTTGTTTTCCATCCTCTCCTCGGGACAACCTCCCCAGTGCTCCCGTTGGAGTTGTGCTGAGAGCTGGAGTGGCTTTGTGCCCTGCAAAGGTGCATTTGGCAGGTTTGGGTTCGGCTGTGGTCCTGCTGGGACCCACTGGCAGCTCTGGGACACTGGTTTGGGTGCGGGGACCCGGTGGGACGTGGGCGGCTGAGCGGTCCCTTCCAACCAGGGATGAGTTTGGGGCAAGCATCTTCCGGGCAGGATGAATGGTCCATGGGCTGGGAGCAGCCCCGGTGCCTGTGGGTTGGGCTCTGCAGAGAGGGTTGGGGTGGGTTGGTTTTTTTATTTTTATTTTTATTAAAGTCTTTCCCCTCTCTTTCCCCTCTCTTTCCCCTCTCTTTCCCCTCTCTTTCCCCTCTCTTTCCCCTCTCTTTCCCCTCTCTTTCCCCTCTCTTTCCCCTCTCTTTCCCCTCTCTTTCCCCTCCTCCAAAATGGGTTTTGCCATTCAGTCCCCATCCCCGTGCAAGTGAGTCGGGGCGGTGGGTGGAGGGGTAAAACGCCCCCGGAAAGCAGGAATAAATTAGCACTCGGGCTCTGAATTTTGCGTCAATTTAGTTTTTAATGAAAACTGTCAGTTTTGCTGGAAGGAGGAGGGTTTGGAGTGGTCCCTGCCCTGATGAATCTTTTGGAGATGAGTAGACGGAATATTGCGTTCAGGTCCTGTTGCCACATCCTCCTCCAGTGCCTCTCCGGGCTTCATTTTGCAAAAACTTTAGCAAACAACACTGAAAAAGGAGATTTGTTCTGGAGGGGATACGGTTTGGAGGAGGACAGCGAGACGTGCTGGGTTTTGGGGGCGGGGGGGGAAGTTTCCTAGTTTGTGGATTTGTCTCTGAAGGGGAAACATCCTCTTCCTTCCCAGCTCTGAAGCCTCATAATTAATGTGAGGTCAGGTATCTCATTAATTACACCCGCACGGAGCGCGGCTGCGCTGCCCTCCTGGGAGGGTGGTGGTTGCTGGAGGCTCCTGCGTCTCGTGCGTGATGTTGAGACAGCGACTGAAGTGACATTCCTGTTTCTCTCCCTACTCCCGCTCCTCTTAATGCCAAAAATAAAGCCCTGCTTTCTGTGATTTTGTGGTGATTTTGTTTTTTTGGGGGGTTCCCCCCC